GATATTGTCGTTAATGAAATATTGCAGTTGTTCTATATAAAGAGAAGAGGGAAATAAACTACATTACTAAACTTAGGTCATCAGTCAATGAATTAGTTATAGCACCTTTATCCAATTCTTTAGTACACTCTGGAACCACTTGAATCTCACTATAATCAAAATTAAGCTCATAGTAATATGTCATGGGAATAAGCGAATTCTCTTCACTTTTAAGACCGACGTAAATTTTGAATGGCGACACTTTATCAATGGAAAATCTAAAATATTGTTATTTCAATAAAATGAATGGATTTTACTTAAAAACGCCTTCAAAAGACTCCTCTCCAATCGAGTTTGTGGTGTAACACTCTGCATCCATGAGTATCTTGCCAACTTTCATCTCCAGATTCAGGTGGACATTTCTCCAATCCACTGTGCACTTCTCCAGCACTAGTCCGGGCCAATTGCACAATCTGATATTATCCAATCTGAGGATTTTCTCCGTGTCTGCAATGCCAACAGGCTCAAAATCGACAGGTATAAATCTTCGCTCGTTGCGTTTGAATTGGTCATTGATTAGCGGCAATTCATATGCTCAGATTTGCAGTTATTATCATTATAATGTGTTACTTACCCGCAACAAATTCACTTCCCAATTATCAGCTATATCTTAAATGAATCTCTCATAAACTCAGGGATGTAATCGTAGTGACTGTTGGAGCAATTCATCATGATAGAAGGATACGAACTTGAGATTGCGAACGCTGCAAATATTAGTGGTGGTGCCGTCGAATCGCACAATCTCGCAATATAATATTCTTTTATAAACACATATGTGTAAATATTTAACAAATCTACTAATTAGTATATATGCGTTGATTAGTGAACGTTAGATATATAGTTCATATTAATATTGAAATTTTTATAAGTATATCCAGTTAATAATTTTAAAAAATCTTTTTTTTTTTAACTTTTAATATTCATTCACAACCTGACAACATCTCTGGCTATAAGTTGAATGTTTTTGGCCAAGACAGAAAGAAAAACAAAATAAAAACAGAAAAAACAAAATAAAAGCATGGAGCGGAAGATTTCCCATCGGAAATCTTCCTATAAACAATTATAAATTTAACTAAAAAGAAATAATTCGATGACAATAACAACCTAAATAAAAATTGATTTTGACGGCACTATGAAACTTTAAACAATAAAACTAACTTTTATTTTCTAAAGGGGAGGTCGAGAGTGTTGTGTCTCTTTAGTCTGTGAGGGGTGTCACTATTTTCTAGGAGGGAAAAAATTTTAAGGGACAAAAATAGAAAAAAGAAAGGTCTAGGCGTGCAGCAAAAAATAAAATCGCTACAAAAACATTGATTTACTCTCTTTTTTTAAACTGTTTGAAGGGCTATTTCTAAACCTATCAAATTTCTAGACAACTGAATCAGACAACTTCATCAGCTGAATCAACATCGGATGGTATAGACTATTAAAATTTAACGTTTAACATACCAAACATATTTAAGGGCAATTTATTTTTCCTAGACATTTTCTAGAAAATTGTATTACTAAAAGCCCCACGTCCAGGAGAAGGTGGTTCGAATCCCACGAATATACTGGTGCGCAGAGGAGTCGAACATACTGGCCATTTTATGAGGACATGTTTTTCGAGGACAGTTGATACGATTAATTTACATATGAGAGAAGAAGATTTTGTTATTGACAATTCAAAAAAAACTTTCATTAAATATTTCTATCCAATTTCGATTTCAACCAATTTCGACATACGAAGTTAAATATTTACATCAATTTTCGACATTGAGAAGATGCAGACGAACAGTAGCAAGTAATATACATTATACATATATACAAGGTACACTGGAGCATGCTGCACATAAATTTTTCTGTAATATTTAAGTTGTTAGATATTATATTAAAACATAAAACAGAATTTGTCAACTAGGAAGATAAGCTGCAGCAAAGGACTGATGAATGGCAGTTGCATCAAGAGAACAAATAACAGTATTGTTAATTATGAATATATGTGTGCGTGTGTAATATTTTTACAGTTGGCAATGGTCATCTGAGTAGGGATTTAAAAAAAATAAAAAGCGGCTTTGGTATCCCTGGTGTAGCCTTACGGTCGAGCCTCGCAGTGAGAGAAGTCGAGCGTCCAAGAGAGAAAACCGCATTTTCACGCAGTAAGTGGCCATCCCATTTTCACTCAGCGAGGTGCGCACCTCCTTTCCCCTAGCTGAAATCCGCTACCCCCTTCCCCCTTTCCACAACTGGACCAGTCAATAACCTTACTCAACTGATTAACATTATCAAGTCAAAAAACGATACAGATCCAGACCA